ATGCATTGTTATGACGTGTGTATCATGCATTATGTATAAACGCAATACAGCGATCCTGTCACGTATGTAGGTACATAAATCGCAGACCACTATAAAAACAAAATAAATTACATAGGAATAATACTTATCAACCGTAATATTGTGTTATTGCTATCGCCATATTTTTTATTATACGTATAGTCGGAAAATTAACAACTCGAGTATCGTATTTTGTATATTGTATTCGGTACAATGTATAATGTATATATTATTATTGTATTTGTTGGCAATTGACAAAAAACAATAACTTTGTTGATTGATTATTTCAATGCAAGTCCAAAAAAAGTAACATTTGTAATTACAATTACACCGAGTCTATTATGTAACTAATTACGCTTTGAATTATGAGTGCAAAAAGAAATAAAACCATAGGTTAACTAACTTGCCAAACGTATTTCTTAACGTGACCGTCACATAATTACTAAAGTATGCAATTCCGAGGATGTTAATTGTTGATTTTCATCATTTATATAGTTTTCCCAAACTTGTATTGTGTTATTTTTTGAATTCCAAATTCATCTAATAGACGATCTTCATCATACAAATTTTATCTTTGAGATCCGTCGATCAATCATCGTTACCTCCACATTCCTCTCTAGTAACACTCTTGTCCGCTTCTCTTAGATCCTGAGTAACAACTACCCTTAACCATCAGTTTTTTTATGGCCATTTTTTAAAAATATTTATTATATCTTCACTGAACTCTCCCGCATTAGTGCTACTGCCAACTCTCCAAAAGTATCCAAACCGTTCTACTATCTCAAGGTGTTTTTTTTACCAAGAAAAGCATCTAGACTGAAATAATCAATAAAACCGATTATTTTTCTATTTAATCTTAACTCATGTAAGCGGAGTCGGCCAGCCAAATCCTCCATCTATACAATAAATTCTGCAATTGTTAAAGCCTAACCAATTTACTTTAAACGCCTGTCTGGTTTTCCGGTATGCTTGTATTATATGCGTACTAATTAATCAGTCGTGTTAATAATATCTTAACAAAAATTAAAATCGCACCCTTGCCGTCGTTATAGCCGGGGAGCTATGAAACGTACTCGTCGAACAGTGGAGCAGCGCGTCAAAATGATATCATTAAGTAATTCGTTTATTTTCCCAACATTTTATTGTAGAGATAACACCGTCGTTATTAATCATATTAAAAACACATAAAAACGAAACAAAATAACAAAAAAAAAAACCGCCATTAAAATAATAATATCGTATAGAACCTTTTAAAATTAACATACGTATCTGAAATTAGTTTTGCGGATCTATGTATTATGTATTGTATACCCGTCATTTTCTTACTACCTTTAGCAGTCTGTTAAAAGTGTATACGCATATAGGCGTTGTGACCGGCGTACGGACTGGGTGGGGGGAGTGGGGCGGGGCGGGGGAGGAGCCGGAGGAGGAGTGGTGAAACGTACCAACTTTATATTATACGTATATGTACATATATATATATATATATAAATATAAAGCGTAGTGAGCATAACTGCGCTGAACAGGACGTCGGGCAGTAAAAGCCTGTGCAGTAAACGAGAGCTGTCTGCGTGCAGAGTGGCGGCGGTGGCTCCGGGTACGTTTTTAATGCTCCCCCGGTCGTAAAAAAAAGGGCGCGCCTCGTCAATATATATTATATATATATATATATATATATATATATATATATATGTATGCAAGTATGCAAGTATAAATATATATATATATGTATCCAGAAAAGGAACCCCCTCCGCCAATGTCGCGCCCTTCCCTCTCCGGCTTCTTGAATGCATTTCCCACTGTTGCACCGAACAGTGCGGTCGGGGGACTTACGTAATAAAATTTATATTGTCGAAGACGTCCGCGATTTTATCGCGGGGAATTTAAACCGGTCGGATTCGTGTAGCCTGTATACAGTACTCGCACACACACACACACACACACACATTATTATACGTCCTAACCTATAATAAAGAGTTGGCGAGGAGAGGAGAGAGAGAGAGAGTCAGACAGAGAAGGGTAGAGGAGAGGAGAAAATGAAACCGCGTCATCTCCTTCTGCCGAAAGGCTCTTCTTCTACGAACCGTTTTTCCGCCGGCAAATGGTCGTAAAACCAACGCTAAGCTTTTCCAGCCTATTTGCCGGTGAAGAAAAGCGAAAAGTTTCCGACTCGTCTGTTGCCGCCACCGTAGTCCACCGATGCTAGCACAACGGCTAGACTGATGATTGCGCAATAGTTAATATTGTCATTGATCAAATCCCATTCAGACGTTTGAATGCCTTTTGTTTTTCGAAAATTATCTCAAACGATTTGGCTTGCCGAGAGCCGCGTTCCATTTTATACATACGCTGGTTCGTTAAAAGTTTGCGCTTGGCCAATACTGAACGACTTGCTCGGTACATGAATAGCTTCGTTCGTGCAATTTCCCCAACGATAGCCTTATAAGAAGGCTCACTACTGTCGGCCATGCTGTCGGAGTCGGGATACTTATCGGTGCGCGCAGTTGTTCCTTTGTTCGTTGTGTAAAATTTGCTATCGGTAGGGTCACATTAACGTTAAATGATGCTGCGCTTCGTTAAGTCTTAAATTGATACGTGCAAAGGAAAATAAATAAAATCAGCAACAATGGTGATTGTAGAAATGGAACAAGTTGAACCTCAATTATTCTACTGCGTTTTACCCGTTTCGTGGTTGGTTTAGACTTAAAAACGTCTACGATGAAATCGAAAAAGGATGACTATCTTTGAAGTGATTACTACGTGGATTTTAAAAAGACATCATTCAGATAAATGGGTACAACGGGAAAAAGAGGGTTGTGATCCTATGGGAAACTAATTCATGAATAGCATCTGATTAGACTTCTCTATATCTTTTCTATACTTAAATTAACCTTTTAAAAGAAGAATAATTTGTTGAAATGCTTGCGTTCTTATTTAAGTTTCAAAAGTTGATAGCACTCTGTAAAACACTAAAAAAATTTAACATTTGGCGATTTTACAGTAACAAAGATACAAATGTTTTCAAAAAGAAAAGCCATACTGTAACTGTTTTAAAAAAAAAAAAAAAAAATGTATTACATTTAATGTATCATCCGGCGTACAATGTATGTACGTTATTTTAAATTAATATTACACAATAATAGTATGTTGTTCAATCGGCAGCTACATTTTAACCGCGTTAATTATTTTGGATTTTTTTTTTATTAATAAAATATTGTCAACAAAAGGGGTCGGCGAATGTACTGGCACCCTTCGTAAGTAGGAATACATTACTTTGCATCTCTCTGGGGTATTACGTCATATGTAAATACGCATCCTCGTATGACAATATTGTTGTTTAGGGACAAGCGAGTGTCACCGAAAAGAAGTGCCTTTGGTGTGTTCGCATAATGAAAAAATAATAGGCAAATTAATTGCCGTTTCGGCAATGAACATGTCCGTGTTTAGCTGTTTATAATGCAAATATGCGAATAAGATAAACCAACACTGTTTATAGTATAATTCTCGACGACCAGTGGGAAGGATCTTCATAGTTCATAATATATTGTTTACCTTGTTCGAAACAAACCAGCCGTTTATGTAGTAAACCGATTTTGATGGAATAATTATTATTTTCCGACCGACGATGGCGTCTGATGATGTATGCGCGTGTCTTCTGCTTTGTTGATATTTGCGAATAATCTTTTCTAATAATATATGAGACAGAAAGATCTGCAGTTTGTCCAACGTGAACAGGTACGGTATCTACCTTATTATTGTAATAATAATATCGGAGAACAAGTTTTGCATTGTTACTGCGGAAGTAGTGAACCTTCAAGCGCATAAAAAATTACAACAACAATTATGCTAACTCTTTATGAACTGTTTCGCAGACGTTTACGCGGGTCCAACGCGACGATAACAATAATTATTGTACGCTTTTGGGCAGGGTTCGAATTTACCTGTCTAAAGTTGAAAGTCGCCCGCCGTTAAGCGCGTTTATTGTGCTCATAAAAAGGTAATAATTAAAAATTTTATTTTTCATTTAAAAAAGTCCGTCGCTGCGCGATATTGTTATTGTATATATATATATATATATATTATAAATATGATATGTTTTATAAAATGTACGTGCATAATTATCGTTCGTGCATGTGTAAACAATGCAAAATTATGGGCTAGCGCGCTAAATGGGGAATACGGTTTGGCTGCAGACTTGTTGTGTTGCGCTACGGTTTGTTTTTGTTATAATATCATTTTCGTTATAACCGTGACGGACATAAAAACGGTCCCTGCTCGCTAATTGCAAGAACCTGTGCGCTATATTATTATAATAAGACTATTGCCAATGCACTACACGGTAACTGCATCAAGTGCACAGTGTACATGTTATTATTATTTATATTATTATCCGTCGCGTTGTTGTACGGCTGCCGCCGGTCGCAATACCGTTTTTCCCCCTCATGATTTAGCAATAATAAAAAAGTGTAACGCTCTACCATACTACGTGCCCGGGTCCGGGTTGTAATGTGTATTATTATTATTGAGCATAACTAACTAAGCAGTAAACACACAGGTTAATGTTTAAAAATAACGCCTACCATGCAATGCAATAGTTATTAAGTCCATGTGGTCAACGCTCGTTTGTCAAATCAAACCTACCAATAATACCAAGTCGGCGGTTAGCTAGGACTGATTGTCCTGTTTTACATACTTCAATGAGCGTAGAAGACCCGAGAAGAGTATCGAGATAGTTTACTTGAACACAATGTCTTAGCACAGTATGGTAGTTCCTAGGACCCATTTGAACGAGTGCAATATCACCCGTTGGTTCGTTTTATTATTGAATGCAACGCTATAAAGTATTTTAATAGTTTTCAAATCCGTTACAGTCATGACGGCGAGATATGCCTGTATGCGAAAGTGTTATTGGATATCGTAACGTTTGCCTATTCCGTGTGCCGTTTATTACACTAACAAATGAAAATTTACTGATTTTTCAGATTCCAGACCCGACATGGCGATGAGCGACCCCATAGAAGACATCGGTTCCGTGTTGAAAGAACTGATCAACCGTACTAAAGAGTTTCAAAACTTGGATGCATTCCGTCTGTTCATACTACAGCACAACACGTTCGACGTGGACAAGGCCACTAAGTTAATCAAACGAGGTACGTACAGAGAGTAAAAGCACCGAGTATCTTAAATCATATAAGAAATATATATTGCTTTCTGTAACACCTACTAAAAAAAATTGTACTTTGTGCGCTAACAGAACCTATAGCAACTTCTTGTGTCGTGCATTTCCCACTTACATATACTTTAACCAACTAACAAATTGCTGTAATCTATGGTGGACTGTTGGCTTGCAACGACTAGGCTAATCTTGAGCATGATGTGCCACGTTGCCGGGCTTAAATAACAAACAAATAAAAAGATCAAGACGGGGCGCCACAACAACAAATTCGACCACCTACAAGACGTTGGGCGTTTAACTCGAGGAAATCCGATAGGTGTTACCGGGGCTCGAGCAGTTGCGTCGTTTAACCGTAGAACTTTGTGTGTCCGACCACGGGGCACGTTGTGGACCGTCCAAGGTTGCATTTAAATTTAAAAACAAATTATAAGAAAATAACACGGTTATACACAACGGAACTTTAGTAAAACGCTATTACACGGCGATTAAACCGTGTACAGTGCAACAACAATCCCAGCAACGACACGCACAGCGTTTTGGCACGCCACCGCGTTGTCGACCGCACAAGAACAGTTCGGTTTGTCCAATATCGCCTTCTATAATAATGCTATTCTCTCAGTACGGTCCAGCATGAAAGGATCGGGCCGCCGTTTAATTTGCCTAATATGCATATAGATAACACGATACGACTAAGCTTGTTCTGGATGATAAGCATTTGAAGTTCGTCCCTAGGCCAGGGGACGGTCTGGGGTAAAACAATTAATTAACGTCCCCTCTATATACGAAAAAAAAAACAAAATAATGATTGTAAAAAGTGCACAAAAACAATAGTTTCTTAACAATCAATTATTAGTAATCGGTAGACCGCATTATTATTAACTTCGAGTATAAACTGTACTCAATGTTATTATTAATATATATATATATATATACAGTTACAAATCGATAGGAAGACTGCCCGTGATATTTATGTTTATTAGTACCGAAGAATACAATCGAAATATGTTAGAAAATATGTGTTTTATAAAAAGGGAAACCATTTCACTCTCTTCCCTATGAGAAAGACCAACGCTCTTGCATGCGAGCCGGTTTGAACCCATTCACGAGGTACCCGATATAGCTGTTGTTTGACCTACCTAACAAAACATAACCGTATCATAGTTGTTAATTAACTCGAGTTGCTACTAACACGCATTGTTCGCATTCGTTGATTTAGCATTTAAGTTGTATTATATGAAGATAAAAAGCATCTGATATAACAGCTGTGTTTTATGGCCCGAGGGTCTTGGTGGTGTAAATGCAATATTTTCACTTGCTCTTTTGTTCTAGGTGAACGTAAACAGTTGAAAATTAGATTTAAATTAATTTTACAATTTTTAACGCAACGCATAGTTATTTTGTCTCGTCTATGACATTTTAATTTTAATTTTTTGTTCAAAAACAAGCCTTAGAGTATTTTTAATAAATATATTTTTTAATTTCTTTATTATTTTAATTTTTTTTTTATTCTTTATTATTTTTACTTATTATTATTATTTTTTAATTTTTAATTAATTAATTTATTCATTTATTTTAACTATTTTCGTCTATTTTTTTATCATAAAAGTTTTTAAAAAAACCATAAGGTCGTTAAGCTGAATCAAAGTATTTCCAAAAATATATAATTTTTTACACTAGTACAAATTTCATGTACAATCGTGGGATTTACTAGGCACATTTCAAGTGTGTCCTAATGGCATCATTCGAACCGGAAACGTATTTATTCGTTTCAGTCTCAACAGAAATGCATTGATGAAATATTAACAGTTGTCAAAAGTGTGTCTTATTTTTCAAGCAGTACGCGAACCAAGATGTCTTAATTAATATTGACTTAATTGTTCAGAGCCAAAGTGTTAGCTTACATTAAACAAATTGCTCTCTTTTAATTTTGCAAATTAAATTTTGATTTATTATCAAATAATGTTAAAATTAATATTTTATGACATTTATTTGGACTCTTTAATTACTTTTTCTCGTAAAACCACTAATTAAATTTTAATTGAGTTCACAAAAAGGTAAGTATAAATACACTAACAATCGTTGTTTGTTTCTAATTTTGTTATTTTCTAATTTATAAAAGTATAAGGAACACAATAATTTAAAAAAATCTAGTGTTGGTTCCAGAGGTCAATTAAGGGGTTATATTTTTCAGGAAATTAGCATAATTGGCGTTTTCAATTGAAAAAAGTGAAAAAAATTTACTAAAACAGACTAAAGATAGCTAATTTTATGATTTTAATAAACGATAACGACACGTATGAGTTAGATACAGCATTAAAAAAATATTTTCTCGTGAATTGTAGTTTCTTAAGTTCTAATGAGACTATTATCAGTTTTTATTTAAAGGAGGGGACAGAATGGACTACAATCATTTTAAAGATATGATGAAATATTTTATCAAATAAGTAATCAATCATATTTAAACTTTGCCAAATCCCTTGTAGGTAATCCGCGCTTCATACTTTATATAAAACCTGTGTGTAATTTAAATTAAATAGGCAATATTTAAATAAATTTGTTATACAATTATTTAAAATGACAACGAAACAACTAGTTATAAAAATTATTACTTATTGAAAATCGGCTTAAACCATTTTTAGGTTAAAACCCTTTATTCTTCTTTACCTTACGTTATAATAATTTGCTATTTATAGAGATAAAATAGATCTCTTTCCATAATTCCTTACAATATGTTATTAACCTTTTAATAAAAATTAATTAATTAATCATTAACATAGGTGGATCCTCATTTAAATCGACGAAATTAAATTATTTGAGGGGTTCGATTGAACTGTCAATTGCTAAATGAACTGCGAGAGTCACATCTTATATTTTGCGATGAGCTTTACAACTCAATTTTTAAACCAAATTTGAATTTTGATAATGCAATTTTCTTCATTAACAGATAGGTAATACATTACATAAATCATGTAACTTTATTAATACTTTACATAACTGTTCAATTAAAAAAAAAATAACTTAAAGCACAATTTGTTTAGTTTGATCTGAATTTAATGATTTTTAGATGATATTTTAAGAGTTATTTTTAAAAAAAATCTTTATACAATTTTTCGAATTATATATGTATTTTTAATCTTGAATGACAAACATGCTCAGTTTAACACTCCGGTGGTTATTTATGTTTTTAGAAAGCGAGGGGAGAGCTTTATTTTAGCTAAATTACTTAAATTATACTCTAAATGACTTGTTAGCCCTCTCTTTCTATCTTCTTTTAGATTTTCGATCTTCGCCCATGATTATTAATAAATATACGTTTCTATGATGTATTAGTTTTAGATATCAGCTACTGCAGAGACACCAAACGATCTGAGGCTATTTATCATTTAAATAAGGCTGACATGGCGTATCATCGTAGCATAATAAATACTATGGTAAACGCTTAGCCTTAGACAATACGACAGTGTTTGTGTCCGTGCTGGAAAAAGGACACCCGAAGAAGATTAAACATTATTCTTTATTACATGCAATATGTTTGTAACAGGCCTGTGTTTGTCGATGCTGAAAAACTGACACCTCAAGAAGAATAAACATTATTCTTGATTACATGTAATATGTTTGTAACAAGACTTTTAGAATAGTATAATATTTCAATTCAATTTCAATGTTTTTCATTGTACTGTATAGTATATAATATTTGTAAGCAAATTATTCATTGGTTGTTTTGTATTTATTTGATGTACTCCAACCTAACGTCCATATTATACATATATTATTGTCCATAAACATTATTTGCGTTTCTTTAGCTACGAAAAAAACAAAACAGCTACAATAATCTTATATCTATTGATAATAATAGAATTATCATTATTAAGTGCACAGTAGTTACATACAATATAATAAAAAAGATTTTGCCTACAGATTTTTTAATATATTATATTAAAAAATCTGTAGGCAAAATCTTTTTTTTCTTCTGTATGTTGAGGATACTTGTGTTTTTGATAATAATAATAATATTAAATAGATCTATCGATATGAATTGATTTAACATTCATTCGGGAATGAAACTAAAAATTACTGGTCTTAGCTGGTTATTTTGTGGAGAATGCGGAGAGAGGTAAAAACTATGCCCTGGACACCGTAGTTCTGTGTAGTTCCGTATTAGTTATTTATTGAATGAAAACACAGCTCATATGGGAATACATGACGCAAGTTTATAGTAAATCATAAATGAGATTTATAATTACAGTGTCCCATACAACGATGGAACGATGGAAAAGGGAGTGGTTGAACAGGGCATTGGCTGACCTCTTTTTACAGTTTCTCGAATTCTTAACATATTCCTAGAAGCAATAAGATAGTATTGAATAATTGCAATTTTAATAATTTCATAATTCATTTTATTTAATAAAAGCTAGCATGGTGGAGTCATTCCCAGACTGTGGAGACGGAGCGTACCGAGTTCGGAGAGATTATACATAATAATAAAAAAACTACAACAATGTGGAATATATGAATAAAGTTGATTGTCTGTTATTTCTAAAAAAATGTTGACATTGTTTTCAGTAGGCAATATTGCAATAAACAATATAATAAATCATTTTTTCGGACACATGTTATCTAGAAATTAGATATGGCGCATTTGTATTTTTTACTTCAATAAAAAAAATTATTTATGTCACAGCCCTCTTCAAAATCTACCTTATGTCTAATTTTCAGATTTCAAGTCCCTAAACTACGCTAAAAAAGTAAAATAAAGTTTCCAACCCTTCCAGAGGAAAGGGTTATTGCCTTTTTTTTATTAAGAATGCTCCTACCCATAAATATTAAACTTAAACCTAAATTTTAACCATCTTTTCCCCATCACCCTGGAGGGTTGATAGTTTTTTTGTTTTCCTATTATTTTTTCAGGTCTTCAGGGCGGAAAATTATTCTAAAGGTAGATCTTAAGAAAAAATGTCAACAAAGGTTTTTGTTTATTATGAAAAAATCCAACAAGTAAACAGGTTAAGTTCTTCAAATGACCACTAGACTAATGCCACTAGCAATAATAGTGAAAGTAATATCGAATCCGTTAGTAAGAGTGATTGAATGACTTATTGTTTATTAAATAAAATATAAAAAATAATGAGTAATTTTTTTAACTTTAAATTTCTTTTTATATGTGTTGCCCCTATAAAAGAATTACAATACTAATTATGTGCTCCTAAATTGTAATTTAAGAATAAAAACTATGTCTGTATTTCTAATATTTTGTTTAGATCAGCGAAATATCTTTTTTTACCAGAAATTTAGGTTAAAATATAATGTTTTTACAACAAAATTTTAATTTAAATCACTGATTCTTTTTTTAAATTTATTTAGCTAATAAAGCACTATGATAGGTATTTTGAGTGCTTTAGAACAGGCGTTGTCATCGTTCATTCCCGTTGAAAAAGCCAAACCATGATTTAAACGCAAAAATTATTTAAAGGGTTCTCAAGTAAAAAAAAAAGTATATAATAAATAATGATCATTCTTATTTATATATACAAGTATATAAAAGTACAGGTATTAAAATACTTACCTTTATTAGAATAATAAAAAGGAACGTGAAATGTAATTAACAAAACACCCCGCAATTTTTTTTTATATTAACATTTCTAAACGTTTAAATGCACTAAATTGATTTTTAAAAAAACTTTAATATAGTGAAATAATAAAATTCCTACTAAGATGTATATTTTTAGAGAAAAAAAATGTAGGTCTAATAGTGCAAAAAACATTAAAATTCATTAAAAAAACTAACTATCCTGCACAATATTTTAGTATAAGCAAATTTTGTTTAATACACACAAGCCAAGACTCAGTACTTTATTTAATATTGTACTAACTACTTAATTATGTTAGCTTACATAATACTTTTATAATTTCTATTCCTTCTTTTGTCGCCTTCTAATTTCACTGTTGTACAACTCTAAATTTTTGAGTTAAATATGTAATTGGTACATAGCGATTAAAAAAACCAACTGAAAATTGACTTTAGAACGTTTTTTAAAAAAAAATTACTCTTTTGAAGTATAAGAAAGAGAATGTAATTATAAATTATTTAACTAATCACAAAAAAATAATTTTTTTAATCGATAAATCACTATCCTCGAGAAGAGTTTTAATTTTTTTTAGGTTATGTTTAAGACAAAACCTAATAAGTGCCGTGAATTAAATTATTATAACAAAGATTACTATTTCTTATTCAATTTTAACTTCTTGAAAATAATTTACAAAATTATTGAACTTTTAATCTTGAAAAATCATTGCTTATTAAAGTTGAAGTTCACTATAAGAGCTTGTCGTTTATTTCACCGAGTTAAAAAGTGCCAAGAATAATATTATCGAAGGGTTAAAATACATGTAAAATAAGATTAATCGGCGAATTTCCAAACTTAGACTTTGGAAAATGTCCAATTTGTTTTACCAAATCTCTGAAACATCTTATAAACTGACAAAAAAAAAAAACGCAAATGTAGCATCTCGACTTCTTAGGATTTACAACAAATATTTTTGTACATTTAAAAACAAAAGTTGGTTAAAAAAATTCGATCGTATATTTTTATAGTATTCGAGTAAAAAGGGAAGTCAACATTTTGTGTATGTATTTCTTTTTCACTAGACAAGCATAGTTCATTGGCATCGCTTGAATTAAAAAATAATGTGTTTCAAGTGCACGACTTTATTCCGAGTCTATCATAGTAGGCTACAGAAACCTGGAAAAGGTTAGCAAAACCCAATTTCTAATATATAAAATAATGTTTAGACGCTTTATTTTTAGGAGCTGGTAATATTTAGTTATAGTGTGTAGGGTATTGTAGTATATGAGGTGAGGCAATTTCGCCCTTGGGTGCCATAAACTGCGCTAAAAAAAAAAAATCATAAGAGGAAATAAGGGTGCAGTTGCGGCGGAATGGCAAAAAGCGTAGTGCCCTAGGGCAGGAAAAATGACAAGTATATTGCAATGGCATATAGTACACAGGTGTGATAAGTGCATATTTTTGAAAAAATAAAAATGATCTATTAGCAACAGTTAACTGATAATATTATTCTCCTGCGCGTAATGTGTACACAAATATTGAAAGCCAAAAAGCTATGAACGGTTTTGATATCGGATGACGTGGAAGTCTATTAGATGAGTAAAATTTGTATTGTATGACATCGTGCGTTTTCAAAATAATTGTTTTCTGTGAAAATTAAATCAGAAAAAAACGCGCTTGTGCTCTATAACATTGGTAGTATAGTCTAGGTCATGTCGAGACAAAGGGTGACCGGCCTTGCCTCAGAATAGTCTCCGAAAGCCTGGCTCTGTCCTATTTATATGCCGTTGGGTTCACATAGAGTTACAGACAAATTTAATATGAAGAGTCTGTCGAGATTGCGAACGTCTGTATAATTTATTACGCCGGTCTTGATGCCGGGTGACAAAACACGGTTTATTTTTTTCTATATTTTATTTTCGTTCTCGGGAATCGAGTGGGTCTCGAATAAGTACGGATTTCGGGACACCGTGTGACCGAATTAATTGTACAATAACCCCTGTGTGTAGGTACGACGAAAGGGGGACCATATTTTTTATATAAAATAACGAATTGCCGACAGATATGTGCACGGCACTGCTGCGATACCGCCGGCCCCGTGTATACATATTACATTAAATAACGATAATAATATGAATTTACTTGCGCCATGTGTTTTATCTCGGTTTCCGACAGTTCGAATGAAAAGAAAAAAAATTATTTATCTAAGACCCGTAAGATTAGTGAATTCTAGATCAGTGAACTATTCCGCGGTTGACATATACTGACGCGACGTTTTATTACAATATTTTTAAATAATTTATTGTTTATTATATGTACATGTATTATGATGTCTGCTGCTAATTAGATTAAACTAATCATGTCTGTTCCCAAGTAGGTTTTGGAAAAAATACATTTTTTTTACACAGCATTGAGCATGATGTTAATATGTAAATATTTTTTATACTTAAATTTGTCATCATAAAAATATATTTTAACACGGCCGTCTAAAATAAAAAAAATAAAAGTGAAATTTCAATAATTTGTTGCTTCTCGTTATAAAATTAACCTATTAACGCCCTATTGGGACTCAAAAATTAGGAAAAAAAACAGTTACGGGCGTTAATAGGTTAAAATAAAAACCACAAATTGGCCCTTCAATTGTGCCATCGCCGTATATTAATTTATTATTGGCCAAAAATTAACAATATTAGGGGAAAAAATTGATTTTACACATTTTGATTAATTTATATTGAAGCACTTTATACACAGGAGAAAGACGGTGGAATCGGCCATCCAATTTGGGTGTTGTTTAGATTTAAACTATAAGGTTCCGGGATTTTAACCCAATTTTCACCAGGTAGAAGTGCTTTACAAATAAATCTATCTCAAGAAAACATTAATTACTTTAATACCTTTCGGTAAATACGGAAAACGTCGAATAACTATATTTTTTCCATGCAATAGAAACGAACAAGATATTTGAAATACCAATAGTTAATGAACACGTCTTGTTGAACATTTCTTAAGTATTTTATGAAATTATTATTCCACTGCAGAAATGGTCTTTTGCAGTAAGATCACGTATATTTCATTACTACGCAGAATTTTCCTTATTACATCCAGGCAGCTTGCAAATCCGTTATATTCAATATTTATTATCATAATATTACTATGAATACTAGTTATTTTATGTCACATTATCA